GGTACTCTTAAGAGTCCTAAAAATTTGTGTGATTACATCTGTTATCCCCATTGGTCAGGTTTTCATATGGAGTCCCAGTTATAAAACTTGGACCAGCCAACTTTGACACATGATTATTTGTTTCTTTGTGCCTTTTTCATTTCACAAATCTTTTCTTTTGTACCTGTTTTAGGCTCTAAAGGAGAATGAGATTAAAATGAATCCTCCTCAAATGGATTACTTGAATATAACTATAAGAAACAATTTTATACACTTAAGATTTTGAAGAATATTTTAAAAGTCCTGCTAATTTTTGTATAAACTTACAATGTTTTTGTCATTTTCAAATGACTGTATATGTATACAAAATTGCTTTGAATTTTGAACTGATGATATATAATCATTTCTGAATAAGTACCTACAGAAGGGAGATTATCTACATCTAGATAAGGTTTTTAGTTCATAATTTGAACATGAACATCCAAAGGCTGAATCCTCTTGATTCATCAATTAAACTAATAAAACCTATGTAAAGATGTTTGCTTCAACTCTTTGTTGCTGTTCCTTCTGTACTGAACACAAACTTCATCTCCTGCTGCAATAATTGGTTCACAACGTTCCTACATCATTTCCTGAAAGCATTTATTGTCCAACTAAAAGTGAACACGACTAAACTATCTTAATTGTTGACAAAACAGCAAAAATATCCAATGCCAGTTTTCCACATTAGATTTCGCAAACACAATCTTATATAAGTGGAGTGACAACGTGAATGAGATTTTCAAAGTTTTATTTTCAGATTTATTATTCAGATAATCCACACCTGTGTTTTTGAGCCCATTCACTTTTTAAAAATTTTATTTTATTTTTTATCTATTTTGACAGAGAGAGAGAGAGAGAGAGAGAGGCAGTGTGAGTGAGGCAGGGAGAGAGAGAGAGAGTGAGACAGAGTGCCAGAGAGAGAGAGAGAGAGAGAGAGAGAGAGAGTGAGTTAGTTCCAAGCAGGCTCCATGCTGTCAGCACAGAGCCCCCTACGGGACTCCATCCCACGAACCATGAGATCATGACGTGAGCTGAAATCAACAGTGCACTCAGCCTACTGAGTCACCCAGGTGCCCTGAGCCCATTTGCTTCCTACAGATACATTTTTGGAATTGCAAAGGACCTTAGAGATCATAATGTGATCTATATGAAGTCAAGCATTTGAAGTTTCTTGACTCTCTTTTCATTATATTGTGCTTCCTCTAACTTAATAGATGATTTTAAGTTGGATAGCATTTACATTTATAAAAATCTTTGCTAATGCTTTCTTTTAAAAAATTCATGGTACTGTTAAGTAATTTGCTTTACATGGAAAAATGAAAGGTCTTTTATCTTTAAAATATCAACTGATTATGTAAGTTCCTTCCTTTTATCTTGACGTTGTTTTGCTCTTTTCACATATCAAGATTTCATACACACTTTTAAGGTACCAATACCACACACTCACATATGTCATTTTAATGGCTTTTAACATTCTATCATGTTATATAGTTTGGCCATTTCTAAGTTATTAGGCATTAAGTCGTCTCCTATTTCTATTAACATTTTTGGATTATCTTCTTGGGATATACTCCCATAAGTTGTACTTGTTCAAAAGAAAATAGTTTTTATGTTTTCTGCTGTATATAAGTAGATTGCTTTTTTAGAAACATTTTTCAAATTACACATAATAATAAGCAATGTATAATTATATCTGTTTCCTCATAGACCTGCTAACATTAAGTTTAAATAAGATTTCAAAGAATAAAAAAGGTGTTACTAATTTTTTGATAAAGATACTTTTAAAATGTTTTTGTTATTTTGAAATGACTATATATGTATAAAATTACCTCTAAACTTTTGAATTTTGGTGTGAATTTTAATTTATTTTTATTAATTTAGTTATTTCTTAAAATTTTATAAAATCAGCTATTTCCACATTATGGATAACTCATTACTTGCTCTCCTTTGTCCGTAGATAGAAACAAGCAACACTGAAAGAAATAAAATTGCTATTTTAGCAAATCCTATCCCCATCAACAAAGGATTCTTTAAAGGAATGTGATAAACCACAACCATATCTTTTTTATTTTTCATAGCTGAAGGACATTTTTGGATGAAAAATATACTTGTGATTTCATGGCTTCCTTATTCTACTTGCAGGATATTTCATTACTATGCAGATTACACTAAGTTTCCAAAATATAAAATTGGTTCCTTATTGCTTATAATGTTACCTATTCATCGGATTTCTTTCTTTCTTTTCTTTTTCTTTCTTTCTTCCTTCCTTCCATCTCCTTCCTTCCTTCCTTCCTTCCTTCCTTCCTTCCTTCCTTCCTTCCTTCCTTCCTTCCTTTCCTTCTGAGAGAGTGAGTGTGAATGAGGGAGAGGGGCAGAGGGAGAGAATCTCAAGCAGGCTCCATGCTCAGCTCAGAGCCCCATACCGGGCTCTATTCCATGACCCTGGGATCATGATCTGAGCTGAAATCAAGAGTCAGATGCTCAACCATCTGAGCCACCTAGGAGCCCCTATTTATCTGATTTCTAATCCTTAATGCTTTCATAAATGATGTTCATTTCAGTTAGTCAACAAAATATAAATTAATTTTAGTGCTCTTTGAAAGGAAAAATCATCTTGAAATAAAAAGAAAATACAGGAATATATACTATTATATCTTTAGAAGTACACATACATGAAAATTTGTCATATAAAGCATATATTTCATTAATAATGCGTTGCCAAGAAAGTACAAATCTTTTTTGGGGGGGAGAGGGCAGGTGGATTTTTCAGTGTTACAGAAATGGAAAGCAGCCCATCTCCACCATTCTCTCCTTTATTCTTACTAACAAATTCCAAACGATATTATTTGCCAAAAAAACTACCTGTGTTTCCCAGACCCTTTGCATATGGGATGGCCAATGTGATATAAGACTTGTTCAAGGGACCTCTGTGAAAGCTATCACTGCCCTTCTATCTATTGATGGTTAGGGCTCCAGTAGTGATCTTGAGACCATGATAGAAAAGCCAAGGCAATTTCCGTTCCCTAATATCAGACCCAAATTGCCATTACTCTTTCAGCTTTTTTTTTTCCTTTAAAGTTTCTCTTTTTATAATTGAAATGATCTCTGTATTAAGAATGTCTTTTAAATGATGGTTTGACACTAATAAACTATGTGTATTCACATAGCTAATGTCTAAACCTTAAACTATGTGGTGAGGTAACTCTGATGTTGGAACTGTAAAATCTTTGACAATTATTCACTTGATTAGTGCAATGACTTTCAGCTGGTTGCACAGTAGAATCAGGTGTGAAAATAAAACTTCACTAAGTCTAAGGTAATGGTGTTCAAATTTCGGCTTACATTAGAGTCCCTTGTTAAAACACAGAGGTGTTAAACATGTGATTCTTAAAACAGATTGCTGAACTTGTCTCCTAGAATTAAGAGATTCAATTGGTCTGGGGTGACATGGTCTCAGGTGATACTGATGATGCTGGTCCAAGGACCACCCTTTGAGAACCCCTAGTCAAGGCTACAGCCTGGGCATCCATGTAAATAGTTTAACATGATTGTGATGGTTGAATGCAGTATCATCCTTAATGAATGAGTTACATAATTGAGGGAGGGGAGGGTCATATCCCTAAGAAGGTTCTCAAACTTTGCATGCATCATAATCATCTGGAGGGCTTGTTAAAATACACATGGTTAGGCCTTACTCCCAGAGTTTGGGATTCCCTAGATCTGAGACAGAGGGGTGAAAATTTGCATTTCCCAGGTGATACTGCTGCTGATGGTTCTAGACATTTTAAAAACGACTGCTTTAGTGTAATTTGTATCTAACTACCACTGCCATACTCTTGTTTTTCCCTAAGTATCCAGAATATGGTGATAATTGTTGTGAAAGTTTAAGAATCTTCAGGAAGTCAAATTCCATTTTGAGGGCGATAAAGATGGGAGGGAGTACATCTTAGTCATCTTTACATGGCCTGTGGCATATTACAATGATGTTTTGCAAATACTAGGGTTCAAAAATATAATGCATTGAATACTGACGGTGATATCAAACAATTTTGTGGTAAATAGTAGCAAGTTGCTTATTTAATCAGCCCTCAGTAAAAGGAAATGGATAATCACCATTTCTGAGTTAAAAAAAAATGTATAGAAAGGGTTATCAAAGAAAAATTAACTTTGGCTCAACAAGTTAATGGGCAATCTTCCCTCACATTTTGCCTTTAGACGTTTGTGAATGCAGTGCACCAAAGCTGAGTGTGATGTTGACTTGAGTCTGGAGATACGTGTGTATACGTGTGTATATATATTTGTGTGTGTGTGTGTGTGTGTGTGTGTACACACACAAATACACAATTGTGCAGTTCTGAAATACAATAGTAATTGACTAAACTTGGTAAACCATAGAGTTACAATGTTGCATGTGATATACTGAATGGATTATAATACATTGTATAGTAATACATACAGAACAATACATTTTTCTGTATGCTGAAGGCATACAAGAGATCCTGTAGAACAGGCTAATAGACTGATTATAGTGAAGAAGGGGAGTTGAGGCAGGTTCAGGGTAAAGGAAATACAATACCCAGACTGTACAAACCATCTTATGCGGTAAGAAATGCAACTCCACAAAGCTGTAGTAGTCTCTCAGTAAAATCAAACAAAATTACCAAAAGGGTTATTGGGACAATCAAGGCTGGAATGCTCTAGTTCAATTACAGCTGTGAAAATAACAATCTTCCCTCCTGCCCCCTATTGGGGCCAATGCCATCTCCTGCCGAGCATCTACTGTGGCTGGGCCTGAGTCCAGGTGCCCGAACTAGCGCAAGACCTTCATTTCCCCTCGCGCGGAATCTTCGAGACTTTTTCCCGCCAAAGCGGGTGTTTCCGCCCCTCGGAGCCCAGGGCGCTGGCGGGACTGCGCATGTGCGGGGCGCAGCCAGTGGCTAAACCCCCGGCGGCTCCACGGACGGCGAACCGTGGCGGAGATGGAAGCGAGCCTGTTGCGCCAGTGCCCGCTGCTTCTGCCTCAGAACCGGGCGAAAACCGTGTACGAAGGATTCATTTCAGTTCAGGTACCTGCCCGCTTGTTGCCTGCTCGCTAGTTGGGCCTCCCTCTCGCGGCGCAGCTCCGCCCCTGGAAGTCAGTTACGGGAGCGGTTAGCAGCCCGGACCTGTGGGGATCGAGGGGGGCGGCGCGGGACCGCTTCCTCCGAGTCTAGAGGTTTGAGAACGGCTGCTGTTGTGGGCAAGCCGGCCCCTCGCTACCGCGTCGGTGGCCGGGACGTGCTCGCAGCCAGGGACTTGGCCGGCGGAGCCCCGGGCTGGACCGGAGCGGGGGGCGGGGCGGAGGGCCACGCCCCCTCGCTCAGCTTCCTGAGTTTGGCCTCCCTTTTGACTCGGTGTCTGTCCCACCGTTAACTGTGTTTTTGTTTGTTCGTTTTTTCGCAAATTTTTGCCTACTTAGATTCTAACGCCATTCCCACCCCGCCCGACAAAACCCAAGAAGGTTGGTGCCCGTTCACGAGGAAATCCGTGCTAATTATATTCGTTTTACAGTAAAATAAATAAATTAAAAAATATGTATATATAAGCCTCCTTTTGGCTCCCAGCTTAGTCGTGTGTACCTGAACACCTCCAGCAGCGATATTTTGTACGGAATCTTAACAGAATTCATTACTTCTGAGTGCAAGTGGCTTCTCTTGTGGAGTTTATTACACATGGTAACACACGTGTACATTTCTGAAGTTTACAGAGTGCTTCCCAAGTACCTTGTTTCACTAATGCTCAGCCCCTTGAGGCACAATTTTTTTAAAAAAGTCATTCTCTCTTCATAGTTAAGTAAGTCAAAGCATGGGAAGGCGGAGAGGTTAAGTTACTTGCCCATGATCACCAGAATTCCTTAAAGCCAGGCTATGTGATTCACCCGTGGATGGATTTTGCTCCTCCGCATTGCACCAAGATACCCTAGGGTAGAATTTTAAGGATAGATTTTTGCTCCCTGACCTTTACACATCATGGTACCACCTCTCTGACCACACATATATGTTTTTTTTAAATCTTTTAAAATTAACAGATCCAGCCTGAGGGAAAACTGGTGAAACCACACACAAATTAACCACCTGCAACATTTTTTAATTTTTAATTTTTTTTTTTTAAAGTTTGTTTATTGAGAGACAGAGAGTGATGGAGCAGTGGAGTGCGAGCAGGGCAACGAAGGGCAGAGAGAGAGAGAGGGAGAGAGAGAATCCCAAGCAGGCTCCGGAGGTGGGGCTCTGAACTCATCAATAGTGAGATCATGACCTGAGCTGAAATCAAGAGACTGATGCTTAACCAGGCAGTGGGCCCTAACCACCTGCAACTTATAATACGGGTCATGAATAGGTTAAATGATCAATCCGTACCGAACCAGAGGATTTGGTTTGCTATGTGAAATAAGGAGAAATTCCTGAAGAGGAAAGAAACAAAGTGGTCATTTTAAAACAACTTAACATTGAAGCAGAACTGTATTTTCTAAGAAAATATGTATGAATCTTAGGCAAGTTTTCAATTATTTGGACTCCTTTTTATAGAAACACAAATTATGCAATTTTGTCATAATTTAAAATTTAGTGATTAACCAGATAATTTGGAAAAATATCATGGTAATGAATAAAAATTTCTGTTCTCAGAATTATTTTTATTTTCTGAAAGGAAAATGAATAATTGCATTGCTCCACCTTACCTTGATTAACGCTCCATTCAACAATTCTCATCAAAACAGACATTGCCAGTATTAAATGAATGGGATGGAGGTAAAATTTAACTCTTAATTATAGTGATTAAGAGAATGGTTTCACCTTTCAAAAATGTTTGAGTATTGGGTATTTGAAAACTTGATAATTTATTTAACTTTAAAGGGAAGCATATTTCATGCTTTTTTTTTTTAGTTATAAATGACATGCAACGTTATATTAGTTTCAGGTGTACAACATAACGATTTGATGTATGTATGTATTGTGAAATGATCACAGTTAAGTCTAGCTGTTCATCTGATTTGCCATATGTAGTTGTAGAATTTTTTTCCTGTGATGAGAACTTTTAAGATTAGTCTCTTCGCAGCTTTCAGATATGCAATAGTATTAACTCTGGTTGCCATGCTGTACGTTACATCCCTTTAACTTTTTTATGACTGGGTGTTTGTGCCTAGAAGGTGCACAACCTTTATCTGTTTGACCTACTTCCCCACTAGCACACATGCTTTTTGAAGATCGGGGCCATATCCTAGAATTATCGTTAAGTTTTGAAGTTTACTCAAAACATATAATAATCTCTCAAAAATACAGAGTTACCAAATTTACTTGCTAAATGAAACTTTTACTCACCCCTCAGAATATTGAGTGTATAACTAATCAATACACTGTAATTAAGGCAAGGTTACAGAGGCTACATATGGATATATTCATTTTTCTTCAAATTCATCGGGATCATCACAGAAAGTAGAGGTTAAATTTCATTATTATTTCTGGAATAAAGGTAATCCACTTTTCCCTTCCCCAGTTGGAAGTACCAGTCTTGAATTACCTAGGTGAAAACATGATTCACTTTTCAGACAATATTTAGAAAAATTGAAGAGATCTTAAGTTACGTTTTTATTAGGAACCATGGTTCCGGCATTTTAGGCACTTTAAAGAAAGTACTTTGTATTATATGTGTCTGTCTGCTAAAGCCTCTTAGAAAATGTGTAAACAAAAAAACAAAACAAAAAAGAGAAAATGTGTAAACATCAGAATTGAGATTAGATGAAATTTACCTGTGACCCTTTGTTGTAGCTACAGTTCTGATTTGTACTTGCCTTAAGCAGCTTACTGAAATCATAACGTAAACAACTTAATTTAACATTGTTTTGTTTGCTGGAGCTGATTTTCGTCTGTTTGTTTTGTATATAATTTCAAACTTACAATAACAAGCATGTATGAAGATTACCCAGATTCTCCATTTTACTTTTGCCCCATTTGATTTATTATTCTGAGTGTGTGTGTGTATATATAGTATATATATATATATATAATATAATATATATAATATTTTATATATATATGTGGGTGGGTATATATACACATTATTTTTTTGAACAGTTTAAAATTAGGTTGTAGACATAGTGCCTCTTTATTCTTAAATATTTCAGCATATATTTCATGAGAACAAGGATACACTTATATAAATCCACAGTACAGTTACCAAAATCAGGAAATTTAATCATGATGTAATGCCATTATCTGGAGTCCAAATTCAAATTTTGTTGATGTTGCAATTACATATTTTGTAGCCCTTTCCAGCCTCCTAAAAGATACCACATTACATTCAGTTGACATATCTCTTTAATCTGGAATAGTTCCATGGTCTCTTTGCTTTTAATAAATTTGAGAATTTTTAAGTTTATTTATTTTGAAAGAGACAGAGTGTGAGTCAGGGAGGGGCAGAGAGAGAGAGAGAGGTTGAGAGCGAGAGAGAAGATCCCAAGCAGGCTCCATACTGTCAGCGCGGAGCCTGATGTGGGCTCGAACCCACAAAACCATGAGTGAGATCATGACCTGAGCCGAAACCAAGGGTTGGACCCTTAACCAAGGGTCGGACGCTTAACCAACTGAGCCACAAGAGTCCGACGCTTAACCGAGAGTGGGACTGAGCCGCCCAGGTGCCCTAAACTTGATGTTGTTTAAGAATACAGTTTGGTTATTAGGCAGAATGTCCCTCAGTTTGGGTTTGACTGATGTTTCCTCATCATTAAATTCAGATCATGTCACTTTGGCAGAGATGACACAGAAAGAATGTTGTGTTATTTTCAGGGCTCATGAAGTTAGCGGGTTTCATTGGTGATGTTACCTCTGATCACCTGTTTAAGATGACATGTGCCAGGTTTTCCTTTTGTAATTCAGAAGTACTTATAGAGAGCTATGAGGCATCAAACTTTCAGGGGTACACACCAGTTTTAGCATCTATTGACTCTTGATTGAACCAGTTAGTACTGTGGTGGTTGCCAAATAAATTATGATTTCCTTTTCTTTTTCTAAAGTTTATTTCTTTTGAGAGAGAGAAAGAGAGACACAGAGAGTGTGCGTGAGTGGGGCAGGTGCGTGAGTGAGAGAATAACAAGCAGGCTGCACACTGTCTGCATGGAGCCAGATGCAGGGCTCAAACCCGTGAAACCATGAGATCATAACCTGAGCCGAAATCGAGAGTCGGCCGCTCAATTGACTGAGCCACCCAGGTGCTGCACCAAATGATGCTTTTCTAACTTCACTAGTTTTTCTTTATTGTCATTTTATTATAAGGAGTAGCTTTCTCTTTTTCCCCACTTCCTTGTATCAGACGGGACTCATTGGTTTTAAAAATAATGTATTTAATGGATTGTGATCATTACTTATTTTGATGTTTAAATTATCCCAGATTTGGCTATGAGTGCACATTTTTATTGATAAAATTTTTATAGCTCTGCATTATCCTCTTATTACTGTTTTTATAGTACTCTGTATATGCTGACTTACAGTGTTTCATCGTCATAGTTTTTTAGTACTGAAGTTTACTTTGTAGATCCCTTGTACCCAGGAGTTATTTAATAGAAAAGTAAAACATTTTCTCACAAATCTTGTTTTGATTTTTAATTTTGTTATTTCTAGTTCTCTTACATTGTGATTAGATAATCTTTGTAAAAATTATAGTGTGTGAAACTATTGATCCTTTGTATGTGTATGTGTGTGTGAGAATAAACCCTCTGGCTTTAAGAAGGTATTTTAAGAAGATATTATTAGATTGTTCCTTTTCTTTTGAGTGAGCCTTGGTAGTTTGTTTCCTTCAAGGAATTTGATTATTTCCTCTAGATTTTTGAATTTATTGTCTTAAATGTTATATTCCATTATTATCCTTTTAATGAATGCTTTTAGGATCTATAATGATGTTCCCTATATTATCTTTTGCTGCATAACTACCTACTCCAAATCTTTGTGGCTTAGAACAACAAACATTGTCACATATGCTGTGGATCAGGAATTTGAAAGTTACTTGGGTGGATGGTTCTGGATCAGTGTTCCTCATG